GGGTGAGGGGATGGGGCCTGGGGTCCGAGGGAGGCTTGGTTCGGGGCAGGCGCATGGGCCCCCTCCTGTGAGCCCAGAGAGGACGAGGACGTAAGTCATAAGCTCAAGTTCACTAGGAATGTGGAAACTGTATCACCATTGTTTGCTGTTGTCGTTAATCCTTACCAGAGGATATTTTTCCATTGATTTTTAGAGAGAGAAGGGAGAGGGAGAGACAGAGACAAACATCGAGGTGAGAGAGACATTGATTGGTTGCCTCCTGCACGCACCCCGACCACGGCCGGGGAATCTGCAACCAAGGTTTGTGCCCTTCACCAGAATCGAACCCGGGGCCTTTCAGTCTTTGGGCCGATGCTCTAACCATTGAGCAAAACCGGCTAGGGTGAAACTATATTACCATTACATTCAGAATATGTCTGATGATACGAAGTAAGGGTCGGGCGAGGATGTGGGGCAACAGGAGCTCATAGAACGGCAAAGCCACTGTGGAAACCAATGTGGCTTCCTCGGATCACGTGAAAGGGGCACATTCCCTGCCACCCGGCCATCCCAGTCCTCGGTGTACACCCGAGAGAAAGCTTCGCGTGGGGAAAGCAGGGCAAAGGGACACGGGTGATCACAGTAGCCGTGCTCGCAAAAAGCATGCCCACCGCCAGCAGAAGGCACCAGCTGGGATGCGTCCATGCAGTGAAGTACTGCCCAGCGGTGGACATGAGCCAAGGCTGCAGGCACCAACCTGGCTGAATCACACAAACATTTAACATGACGTAAAAAAATAAAAAGGAAGTCACAAAAGCAGACATACCGTATAGGTCTCCAGGACAATTCAATGTACATGAAAGCCTAAAACACCCAAAACTAAATAATATATTACCGAGCACAGGGATCCACCAACTAGTATAGCCCTCTGGCCAGGTGCACCTGCGGTCTGCTTTTGTAAATAAAGTTTTATTGGCACACAGCCACAGCCATCCGTTTACACACTGGTCTGTGGCTGTGGTTCTTGCTACAAGAGTAAAGCTGAATGGCTGCCACGGACTATGTGGCTCATTAAAAAATTACTACCAGCCCCAGCTGGCTTGGCTTCTCTCTCTCTCCTACCCCCTTCCTCTCTGAAATCAATAAAAAGATATTTAAAAAACAAAATGGGAAATAGGTCCCCCAAACTCCTCTTCATGGAAAGTCTTTCCGCCCAGGGAGGAGGGGGAAGTTGGAGGAAGTTGGATGTTTTCCACCAGAGGCTGGGACCCTGTTGCAGCCGTTGGAAGCCACGCTGCCGGCTTCCAAAGCAGATGTGAACAGATGCTTCTGTCCTTTGCTGCTCGCCACAGTCAGGGAAGGAAAGAAACCAACGTGCGCTGAAAACCAACTGTGTTCTGAGAATCTCCCATGTGCTTGCTCCCTGAACAGAAGGTGCCTGTATTTATCCAGAAGAGGACACTGTAGTGATGGGCGGGGGGACCCTGACTGTGATTTTGGAAGCAATTTTGCATTTCCAAAAGAAAACACCACGCAAGTCAGGTTTCAGAGGCGTCGAGCCTCCCACGGTCCCGCCAGGCAGTGCCGGCTGCCCGGGGTGTTGCTGAACCCTTGTAGAATGGGTGACCTCGAAGGTCCCTCCCAATATAGGTTCCTGTGATCCTATAAATAACTAGAGCCACGGGCAGCAGCGCCGTCCAGAGCTCCCGCAAGAAACACCTGCTCCAGGCCAGTCTTGTGCACGGGCGCAGCCGCGGCTCCCAAGGATGCGATGACTAACCCGGCCTGTGCGAGTGCCAGCAGCACCGTGAAACCAAGGGCCGACGTCTCAGTTACCACACGCTCGGGAAACGGAGCCCTCCAAACCCGCCATGGATCACACGGCTGTTGCTGCTGCCACGACTCGTACCAGAGCTCGGGAAGCTGCGTCTGCGAGGCACCCGCAAGGGGCTCCCAGCTGTCCACGTGCACGGCCGACCTGGGTGACAGTCCGAGGCTCCGATCCTGGTTCCCTCTAGGCCAGTGGTTCTCAACCTTCCTAACGCCGTGACCCTTTAATGCAGTTCCTCATGTTGTGGTGACCCCCCATTTCATTGTTACAAATGGAACATAATGAAAGCATAGTGCTTAATCACAAAAACAATATGTCATATGTGTTTTCCGATGGTCTGAGGCGACCCCTGTGAAAGGGTCGTTCGACCCCCAAAGGGGTCGTGACCCACAGGTTGAGAACCGCTGTTCTAGGCAGTGACCCTTCCCCTGCCCACTGTCCTCCTGTGGACGCGGCACAGCTAGCACCGGCCTGGCGAGCACACGGCCAGCTTGCCCTCATCACCTAACTC